AGACTAAATGTTGAAAAAGTTTCAAAAATCAATTCACCCCCCTCTTGGTTAATTATTCTTGGGTTATCACAAAAATGACTTAGGATCGAGACCTACTAAACAACATAGGGTAAATTATCCTACTTATCGGCAACAACAACCGAACAGGGTTGAATCTAGGTTTATTCCCACCTGTCACCATTGTGGTGCACTGGGACACACAAGACCTAGGTGTCGTAAACTTGTAATTAGAAGTAAAAATTGAGATGTCTAGAGCACAGTTAACTTCCTCGCCAATCAGGTTAGCCACTTAACTGAGATGATGACTCGGTTAACTAAAATTACTTCTATTTCCAAGCAAGCTTGGGTTAAGAAAAGTGATCGGAGGTCGTGAGTTTGATCTTGCTCTTAAAGGTAAGAGCATCCATTGTTCTTCGTGATTAGTTCCTTTAGTGCATGCATATGCAGTTCATTGAGTACATTCATTCGTGTATGCATCTCATTTATTTTCGTTTTGTTTTATTTTGGTTTGTATTTGTTTCATTTTTATATTGATTATTTTATTTTTTATTTTTTTTCAAATTAGGCTCTGGACAGTTCATGATACTCTTCAACATTGTATGTGTGATCGAGTATGTCGTTATCTGATCTATACCGTTGTTTTCATTACTTGATTCAGTTTACGATGGAGTATTGAGTATATGTTTCTTCATGTAATATCTGCACAGCACATACTATGATCTTGTGAATGAGTCTGGACAGCTTGTGTGAGATTTAAGATGGCATCACATGTTAGTAGGGTGACTTCAAACGTGAATTGACCTACATCTAGATTACCTTGCTCGTGATGAGTCTCCCTGCATTGTTTGAAATACAAAAAAAAAAGTAAACATGTTCGGTTTATCTTATACATTTGTTCGAAGCCTATTTGACTCGAGCAATTAAACCCGAGGAGTTTCTCAGAACCTGGTGCATATGGTCATCTCATTTCGATTAACCAGCCGAAAGCTCGTTACATGGGTCAATTTAGTCGCTTAATGGACAAGAGTCTGCACATAAGATGTAACTTATGAGAAAAGTGATATAAAAAATTACATGCTCATATTCAGGGGGAGAAAAATAAAATTAACCATGTACTTGAGCTCGTTTGCAGGTCCTATAGTTTCATTTGGGTTTGACTTTCATCAGTAGGGAACATACTTACTTGACAGTGATGTTTGTATGTCCTTTCTTACAAATTTAAGGTTTGAAGTTATTTTTCACGAGAAAATAGTAGCACTTTATACATATGAGTCACTTATACACTTTACTCCATCTTGAACTTAATTGAGTAGGAAAGTTGTTATTGATAATGCTTGACTTGTGAATACGTGCATGGTTATAATTATCAGGCTGACAGGAGCTTAATTTGCTTAATTTAACTATTATTGAGAAAAGAAAATTTTGCTTAATTTGTTATTTATTTAGAAAAAAAGGTGTTATTTTTCTTTATTTTCAAAAATTCAGTGCTATTTTTATTAAAAAGTTTTCATTGGCTTATCGCCAAGCCCCGCTCGAGCAACAGCAGCAGAAACTGCCTCGCCGCTTATCGCTTGAGCGACAGACCTTAGTTTTGAATTTTAACGTTTCAGGGTTTTCACGCATTTTTCCCTTGATTTCTCCAAAATCTTCATAACCTACACCAAATTGGAGGATTATCTACTTATTAAACACTTCAAATCATTCATTGAATGTGTTGTTTAATCAAAACTTCAAACTTAAAAGTGAATTTTAAAAAACTTAGGGTTTTCCTCATTTTTGCATTTATTTTGGAATGTTTAGATTTTCGCCAATTGTTGGTTCGATTTTTTGCACTTATAACTCATGCTTGATGCATTATCATTCAATGCCATTTAGTTTTGCACATTTTTGCATCTACTATTGCGTTTGTTGGTTGAGTTG